ACATGCATTGAGGTGGCCCAAAGCGCCAACTTATCCTTAACTCACCCCGGAAGCAAGTGCTGGCTACAGAAGCTGACCTGTAGTTTCGCCGAAAACCATGTCTTCCTCATTGATATAGACAGCTGATTCTTTAGGATCTCTGCTGATGTATCATCTCTGAAACCAAAGTTCATGAACAGAGTCTTCTTTTCTCAGTACTTCGTTTTAATTTCAAGGTTTTCTCAATGCATCTGGACGGTTGTGCACAACAGAAACATTGGCTTTTCTCACCAATTCAAGCCTAATCTCTGCGTCCAGAAGAATTATGTTTAATGATAATAACAATACTTGCTTTATTCTAAACATATGTGATGTAGTAAAGAATTCTCAGTATGCAATATTTCATTAAATCCACCCTCTGTATAATATTTCTAAACGAAGTATTAAAAATAACAGTATTAAAGGCGCTAATATGAAACTGGTAGTCGGCGGTAAACAGGCGTCTGGTCTGGAATCAAGAATGAATAGACAGTCAGTGTTGTATGTTGAGGTGTAATTTCGGTGGTGGTAGTCAAATCATCCAGTACTAAAATCTCCAATTCGATATAGGTATCCTCAGCTGGTTAACTAGTTCACTAGTTACTGGCTGGTCCTAAGCCCCCATAAAGAGGGAAGTTTGGGCATAGGGCTAGCAACCCTACCCCGTAAAACAAATCTAACCGCTAAAGAAACTTCAAAGCAAAAACGATATATAAAAAATAATAACAAAATTATTCCTCACTGGAATCGGAGAGACGAAAAGACGCCAGTTGGTGAAAGCCTTCGGGAAGCCAGTCGGCCGATATGTCTTCTCTTATCTCGATGAAAGAGAAAGTAAGTATGGGGACATGGAATGTCCGCACCATGTTGAACCTAACAAGGCTGCCCAGATTGCAACGGAGACGAGGAAGTATGGCATGGAAGTGACTGGAATCTGCGGAAGCAAATGGAATGGAAATGGAATCTCCAAACACCTAACTGGAGAGTCAATAATCTACTCCGATATTGTCACCCAAACGACAACCACGAGCACATTGAGTTTTCGAGTGGCTATCATGATGACCCCCAACCAATCTCCTCCTGCAGGATCAAGATCATGACAGCAAGATTCAACTCAAAAGGAAGTAAAGTCACAATCATTCACTACTAAGCTACGCACCTACAAATAATTCAGATGAAGAGAGGAAGGAGGAATTCTGTAGACAACAGCACGACATCAAAATTCTAATGAGTGGAGTAACATGGAAGTCAAACTGGGAGCAGACAATACAGGAAGAGAACTCATCGTAGGTCGAGAATCACTCAGTGAAATGAATGAGAATTGAGAGCTGTTTGCAGACTTCTACGCATTCAATGATGTAGTGAGTGGAGGTGAGGCAGTGTGTACAAACACAAGGATATTCACAGAGCGACACGGATTCGATTTCACCAGACACCACGACACACTAAAAATCAGATCGACTTCATCTCAATGTGAAGAAAGTGGAGACATAACGAGCTCACAGGACACAAGATCAGATCAAGAAGGGGAATGGATGTAGGTTCACACCACTCACTATCTAGTGCAATGAACCTTCCAAATTAGGTTAAAAGCCTGGAAAGAAGTTGGTGGTAGACCACAGTTGAAGTTCAACACCCAGAACAGAAAGTGAACTGAAGGACGAAACTACAAAGACATCTTTATGTCAGCCATCAAGATGAAATGGGAGATATCGAGCAACATCCCTGAAGAAACCTGTGTCGATGAACACTAAAACTCTTTGAAAGCTATGTGGAAAGAAACCTGCATAACCGTATTAGGAAGGAAGAAGAAAGAAGATAAGGAATGGATCTCGACAGACATATAGAAACTGATAGAGCAGGGAGAGGTGCATAGTGAAGCAGAAGATAAACCAGTACAAGGATGCTCAAAGAGAGGAGGAACTGAGTACAATGTATAGAACACCACACTGGACAAAGAAGTGAAGAAGAATGCACGCAAAGACAATAGACACTTGCATGACACACTGGCAAGTGAAGCAGAACAAGCTGCTGCTGGTAGGAGAGACCTGACAACGTTGTATCAAATAACCAGGTTGCTATCTGGGAAGAGATCAACGGAGACGAAACTAGTGATAGTTGGTGATGGAAACGTAGTTAATACCAAAGAGGATAAACAAAGGAGACAATGGACTGAGCACCTCAAAAAGCACTTGAGTCGACCACCACCACCACCATCACCTACAACTTGTCCACAAATACCACCGGTGTCTACAGTACTACCAGTGAACACAAACCCTCTGACAAAAGAAGAAGTGAAGTCTTGATCGCCATGAAGTTACTGAAATGCGGTAAAGTAGAAGGACAAGATGGGATTTCTTTATAAGCACTTAAGACGGACGCAGAGACAACAGTGGACATGCTGACACCACTGTTGCATAAGGTTTGGAAGGAAGGGGGGGAGAAGTAGCTTGTGAAACTTTCAAAGAAGGTTGACCTAACTCTATGTAAGAACTGGCGGGGAATTATGCTGCTGTCCCTGCCCATCCCTAGAAAAATACTAAGCCGCATCATCCTGGAGAGACTGGAAGATGCGGTGGATTGAAAATTACGACCGTAACAGGTTGGCTGGCTGTCTTCAGGAAGAGCAAATCATGAGGCGATCAAATTGCAACGCTACACCACTGATGCTTACAGAACAGGGTACAGAATGGCAGCCAACTCAACTCTACTTCAACTTCATTGACTTTGAAAAGGCCTTCGACAGCGCTGACCGAGAAGTAATTTGCCAGGCAGCTGCTTCAACACTGTGGTTTTAGTGCCGCAAACCTTTATGAACCTCATTCAACAGCTATTTGACGATGCCACATGCTAAGTGATTCACAGTGGGAAGCTGGGTGATGCCTTCGAAGTGAAGACAGGGAGGAGTAAAACAAGGCTATCTACTATCACCGATGATCTTCCTGATTGTGGTTGACTGGACTGGACTGGATCATGCGGCAATCAGTGAGGAGGGAGAAGAGGGGCGTATGCTTGCTGGACCGATGAAAAGAGCCTGGAAGATTTGGATTTTGCCGATGATCATTTATGTCTAATATTGCATAAACTCGAAGATCTACAGGCGAAAACCAACAAGTTTACAGAAGAGGCAGGGCAGCGAAGATGGGACTTTAGGTGAATGTAAAGAGGTGATGGAGGTACTCAACCAACAACAACAACATCAACAACGAACAACAATCACCATTAACGGGAGAAACCTAAAAGAAGTTGTCTCTTTCACCTATCCACATAGGCAGCATCGTCTGAACTACAGGCGACACAGGCACAGACGAGGATGTCAAAGTCAGCCAGGATCGAAAAGAAAGCAAGACAGACTTTCATTAATCTGAAATCAGCATGGAGATGTACTTCACTCAGCATGTGGAACAAGATCTGGGTTTTCAACACCAATGCCAGTCAAGTCAGTGCTGCTATGTGATGGTTGAGAAACTTGGTGTGTCACGAACAAACTACAGACATTCATCAACAGCTACCACCTACTCTCACTGGATACTGAAAATCAGATGAGAAGGCCAGAAAGAATAAGCAACAAGGAGCTCTGGATGGCTGGCAACGAATCAACCAAGAATCTATCACCTAGTAAATATGCAGGTGAAGAATGTGGAGATGGATTGGATTGGACACAGTGTGAGAAGGCCGACTGTGGACATCACGCATCAGGCAGATGCTCGAGTGGAATCCAAAGGGGAGACGATGAGTTGTCCATCCGAGTCGAGGGTGACATGGAAGAGATGATGCGAGGAAGAAATGAAAGATTGTGATCAGTCGTGGAGCGAGTTTGAGGGGACTGGAGAGAAGAGAGTGGAATGGAGGCGTGCTACTGAAGCCGTATGTTTGACTAGGAACCCAAGGGAATGATAATATTAATAGTAATAATATAATTCCGTTTTGTATGTTTGAAGATGATTAATTCTGGTTATATATATATATATATATATATATATATATATATATATATATATATATATATATATATAGTCACTCACATACCAGGAACATTGTGATAATACACAACCAGCCTTCATTTTCTACTGTATAAAGAAAGGAGTAGAAATACTCCTAGTTAAAACCCCACAAATATCTCCTCTTGTATTCACTTCAATCGTTCACTTGTAGGTGTGGTTAAAGCGTAGAAAATACAATGATAATTAGATAGACAGGTGAATTAGAATTCATTCACTATTAGAATTATGTTTTTCAGTTATCATTTCAGTTATATAATTCATTTAGCACCACTTTATTCAACACTATAACAATAAATCATTGTAAGATGAAGCTAGTTGATTGTCTGACTTAGAGGTGTTTATATTGAGGGTAAGACAGTCAAGTCGATTGATGTGGTTGTGAACCTTCGTTGACTGAGATGGCTTGAACATGTACAGCGCATGCCGAGTCATCGCCTAACTAGACGTACGATGCTAGGGAAAGTTGAATTAGATTGGAAGGAGGTCCAGGGTGACACGAATGCATCAAGTCCCAGACCGTCGGTTTGAGCTGTGTGGGAGAGTTAGACTGCCTAGCTGAGGTAGCCGAGACCATGGGATCCGTTGGTAAAATGGCTAAAAACCGGTCACTATGGCACAGATGTAATTATTCCTTAACGTCTTCTAAGGCTTGATTTTTTTTATTAATTTTTATCTTCAATTTGTTCGTTCTTACACACAACTTTGTCTACTTTGATATAACTCTCTTCCTGTGCACTTATTCTTTTGTATACTACTATGAAGTGTGGCAACATGAACCGATGCACTTGTGTGGAAGGTTCTAAGTTGATTTTGTCTGTCGATATTATCTTTAATCCTGGGCTATAATATTATTATCATTAGTGATGATAATATCAATGAACTATTTATTCATTCTTTCAGTCGATGAATATTTTATCTAATCAATCACCTTATGTGATTCATTGGAACAATCATCAATGTTATGATTTTATTTTTCAGAACCTCAGCAGACACATACACTAGATCTATCTCCTGATGGTCATGAATTTGCAACTGATGGTACAGACCGAAGAATTCGTATATACACCATACGACCTGATGGTTTAGTCGGTTTACCATATGAAATTTCGAATAAAACATCTGACTTCAGTCGAGGTTATGGTGAATTTTTATTTAATCTATGAAATACTGTGCAGAAATTTTGAAAATACTATTCATTTATTCGATGTTAAATGGTAGCAGGCAATCGACAGGAAGCTCTTCTTGATCTACGCTTTAGATTTGTTGATACTTGTCCGCAAGGGGAATCTATGAAGTTTATTGGAACCCGCCTCAATTAGTCTTACCGATTGCCTTCAGTTATCTAACATCAGTCACCATACAACATAATACTCCGTGTTTGTGGCTTGGTGACTTCATCACATCATACTGTAATATACTATTTCCTTTAGTTACTATGTGTTACTTAGGGTTTTGCACCCAATGCGTGTCTTAAACTCGTCATTACAAAAAAGAAATATAAATAGTAGAGCTCAGCGAAAAATAGGCTTATCAAAATGTGTTTTACACCAGTTATTATGTTTGTGAATTTTTATCACACAAAGTAATGAAAGTCAGGAATAAGAAGTGTACATTTGAAATGTGATTTGTTATTAGTACACGGAATGACTACACTTTAAGTAGTGATTTAATTTGGAGGTCTATAGAGATTTATTGATTTCAACATAATATTCATCACAGAGTGGCATCAGTTGAAGAGTCATTGAAAACCTTGGAGTACTGGGCAACTATTTCGTTCTAGTATGGGACTCCTCAGTAGTGCACCTCTATGATCCCACCGGAGATCTAATCCAGGATCTTAAGGTTCCGCGGCCAGCATGTTAACATTGAGCCAATAGGTCGGAATCCAATGGTCCTTATTTCCCTACTTCTATTAATTCCTGTTACAGCGCAACCTTTATACAATGCTGTCGTTGAATGTTTGTCCTCATGTCCAACTTTGGGTCGTCCCATCAGTCACTACTTCTCATTATAACTTCAAGAAATCTCATCTCGAAGTGTGTCATTAATGAGCAGTGCACAGTAATTCAGTTTGCTGGTTCGACTGAAATGGTTCAATAGTTTAAAATAGTAAATTTTATTGAGTATATGCAACAAAGGTTTTAAAACTTCTACTTAGCTTTTGTAACCTGTTACAACATTGTAACGTTTATCATAGTAATATGGATTACTTTACCCATAATCTAAGTCAAGTATCAATAAACAACAAATGGACCCGTTGCACGAGAGATGTCTGTCGTGTCCCTGTGACTTAGTGGATAAAGTTTTATCGTTAGAAGCGATGGGTACGGAGTTTAAGTCTCAGAGGGAACAACAACATTCACTGGAGTGGAGATACATCCAACTGACGAGTCCCAAATACGATGAAACGCTACTAGGCACTCAATAGACTATGAAATGATGAATATCTGAATAGTATCCAGGACTCCGCATAGAAGCCCACTTGTCAACAAAGGTGGGGCCATTCGACTCAGCATAGCAACGGGAAATCACAAGTATCAATAAAAAGTAGTACTCAGAAAGATATACAAGCTTTTTTCCGTCAACAGACAAAAAGACAGAAAAATTAATATGGGTGTAAAACGTCGGCACTGTGGTAGAATTTAATCTCATATTATAAATCAAATAAATAAATCTAATATGGAATGAGACAGATCAATTGTTCGACTCCTTCATATCAATTATGAAATAAGTATCCAAGTGAATATTGACTAATGGTTATTACGTATTCTTATTTAAGGAATTTTAACCCATCTACTTGCTAACGTAACTTACCTCTGTCTTATGTACACTTAGATGGTTAACAGTTTATTCTCTGTAAGTCTCACCTTCAGAAATGACTACAGGTATCATTCATTTCTCCATGACTTTTAATATACCTAGCTAATGAAAAAATGAACACTGTGGGCTACATTTTGTGTTTTATTTTGATGTCAGTATGATTAATAGTGTTCAGCGTCGAATAGCTGTCTAGTGATTGTTTTAGTCTACTCGAAATCATTTAATTTAACTAGCTTATTTTTGTGCGCTGACAACATTAATTATGTAACTAAGTTTTGTCGACCTTGGTGTCATCTTTTCTATTCACTTTTTGTAACAGCTTGAACTGGTACACTTGTATGTCAGCTTTTGCGTTGATTTGTCTGAACTAGCTCTATTCTTACAATGTTAATTTAGTACATATTTCTTGTTGTCTAAGCATTAATATTTCACCCTCCCAAGATTGCATCAAAATTCACCCTCATCCGAACTTGTCAAATAGGCATTTTGTTCAGTGATTCAGTTAATTTCCGAGGGTGACATTACGCTTTTTCTACGTTGGCTGAGTTTTATCAATACATAAAAGGTGAATTTATTGGCAAAAATTGACTTTGTATAGAGCAATAACAATTTTTGTATTCATCTTGGTGGCTGACGAGGAGGAATTACAGAGGAGGAAGAGGAATTACGGACCACAAATAGGCACAAGCAGTGGTATTATTTTTTGAATTAGAGCATTTAGTTTAGACTTATTACATAATATCAGTGTATAGCTCGTCTAAAAAGCATTGAACTGATCTCTCGCTTATTTCTCTACACCCCATAATTGCATATTAATTGAAGCTATTTATGACTAATATGTAACTGAAGAATAATGCGGCGTTTTCACTGGTTTTTCAAGGTTATTTGTTGGTTATTGGTTTTGGATTGCTGTGGTTTATCTTCATCGAAGAAAGTATCACAAAAATTTAACATACTGATCATTAAGAAGATATTATTCGCTTTTCTTTTAAACTGTGAACTGAACTACTGACGTTGTACAACTTTATATTATCCACTATGTAGTAAATGTTATGATGTGGCTCATTGGCTTGTGCATCTGACTTCCAACCTTTAGGTCACAGTTCAAACCTTCCCCTACCTACTGAAATCTGAACAGTCAGGTAGTATCATTAGCCCTGAAACAATAAGTGTAGCTCGTTGCCCATTACACATACGTGTATGCTACTTCTAACGGAATTTTCATTATTTCGATTTTGAAGTTTCCATGCAGATTTTACAAAAGCCATATAATCAACTGTACAGGAATCGGTAGATTGTTATAAATTGAAGATAGAAACTTGGATATGACAGCCAAAAAAGTATTGAACACATATCGCTTCCTCCTCTTCACCTATCGAATCATTAAGATAGTATCCATCACCGACTGACGGATGAAGAGTGCCACATTGGGACGAACCAACTGTGTAGTGCTCCCAGGTTTCTAATGGTTCTCCAACTTATGTCATTCCGTGATGAATACTACCTTAAGATTAAAATCCCGATTGTCAGCAGGTTTAGGTTTTCAAATTTTTCCATTCCGATACACATTCTATCAATGGTTTAACACTCATCCCACTTTATACACAGTACAACTGAAAGAGTAGTTCAGCTTGGCAACTGATGTAATATGAGTACCTGATAAATGTATGGGCCCTTCAACAATAACTTTTAGACTTCATTCTAAAAGGGTACCTTAGTTCCTCGAGGAAAGAGTAGAAGTTGCCAAAGAATAAAGGGTTTATTAGAAGACCAGAATAAGTTCTCAGTAGTGGTGATATTTTCTTGACCTTTGAAGAAGGACACATTTCCTGTAGATCTAGTCCTATTAGTGAATCTGGGGTTGAAATGTTTGACCGTTGACTTTTCATTAATCTTGTGTGTGCGGTGATTGGTTGTGAATTTCTTTGAGGGAACTTAAGGCTTCTTTTTAGCGACCATGAGGTAATGCTCCATTCTATAATAGTAACCAAGTTACCTGTTTGTATATACAGCTGGTGATGTTAGTAAACTAATAGTTCCCGACCGATAGTTGCTACCTTGATGTGGTGGTCGGGCTCGCATATCACAATGACCCAATGAGCTATGCTGGTGGAACGCTTGTTCCCTCGAGGTCCTACCATACCAGAGGTCTGTTGGTTAGTGGTTAGACGAAAAGCAGTTACTGTCGTGATGTAAATGACTACACCATGATAGGGATCTGAGGGCGAAGTCGTACTGCTGCTAGGTAGATGGGGTGTGACAGCAGTAAGGTGTTTCCCTTGGATGACCTGACCAGCAGTGCCATGCTGATGCTGCCTTCTCAGTGGAAGGAGGGGAGGGGGGGTTAGAAAAGGTCGGCCCCAAAAATAACACACTCTACCATACCCACAGTCTGCCGGGCTGGCAGTGTTGGTTCATTTGTCTCTTCTTTCTAGATTATCCGGTCCCAAAACAGCAAAGGTTCGAAACAACCATACACAATAGGCTACATGTGACAGGCCTTAAGTAGATGTCCGATGGGCTCTGCGGTTACACAAATCTCTTTCAGGTACCTTAAGAATAAATAGCCTTCCACGGTGTGGGCATCCGGCAAGTGTCAACCGCCCTCACAACTCTGTCACCACTCAAGTTTCTTCTGACTGCTATCCACCTCCTCCATCATTACCTTCTAATCTTCCTTCACGTCTCTTAATTAATGATGCTGCATCATCTTCAATTTCTCCTACCTCTGCAGCCTTCGACAACGATCTGAGTCCACAGAACAGCATCCCTGGTCTCCTTAAACTGCGCTCCAAATTACATATTGGAGCCTTCAATGTCCACACCCTCCGTCAAATTGGTAAACAGGCTTCGTTAGCAAAGACTCTAGCAACTCGGGCCATGGATGTGTGCTGTGTTTGTGAGATACGCACACAGGACCCAAGTGTGGTTATTCACCTGACTTCTACTGACCAATCTGGTGAATCCGAAAAATTCACCCTTCGAGTTTCTGGAGATTCGATAGCTAGCTGTCGTGGTCTTGCAGGTGTAGGTATAGCATTAAGCACTAGGGCAGAAAACTCACTACTAGACTGGATCCCAGTTGATAGTCACCTCTGTGCTGTCCGGCTGAACGGCACAGTGAGAACTAAAAGGAATAGAGAAATTCGCCGTTGTCTCTTTGTAATGTAATCTCTGCTTGCCCATTCAGTGACTGTAGTTCGGATGAAGTGAATGACGAGTTCTACCGAAAACTGTCTAACCTCCTCTCGAAAGCCAAGGGTTCGAACGTGGTGGTTGTTGCAGGCGACTTCAATGTACAGGTTAGTAGACTGAGTGAGGCAGAAAGGCACTTAGGTGGCACTTTCGGAATCCCGGCTGAACGTACAGGTAACGGTGATTGCCTACTACAACTATGCTCAGATAACCGCCTACTTTAAGCTAGTGCAAATTTCAGACATAAAGAAAGACAGTCTGACGTGGTATCCACCGAGCTTAGCTCAGCGATGGACACAGATAGACCACATTGCTATTAGTCATCACTGGAGAGGATCTGTGGAAGACTGCCGCTCCTTCTGGAGTTCATGCTTGAATAGCGACCACGCGTTGTTGTGAGCGCGTATATGCGTACCTCTGAAAGGACGGAGGAAAATTTGACAACAAAACCATTAAGAGTGCGGCTCGAGAACAAGAACACTAGAGCCGCTTTCAGTGATAAATTGGCTGGGGAGTTTTGGGAACAGAAGACTATCAATCATCCAGAAGAAGCTTGGTATCATCTCGATTCTGCTGTAAAAGCAGTGCTGAAGACCGTAGCCGACTCCGAAAGAGTGGCTAAAAAGAGCTAGTGGATATCAGCAGCTTCTTCCAAACTAATGGATGCACGTGAATGCATCCCTGCAGGCTCTGAGTACAATGAAGAGCGAGCGCAACTTAAAAATAGACTGACGAAAAGTCTGCGCAACGATCGTGAACAGTGGTGGGCAGCGAAGGCTAAAGAGATGGAAAAGGCAGCGGCGATCGGTAACAGTAGACAGTTATTTAGACTTATTAAGGAGACTGGGGGGAAATGGTCAACAACAGTTAGTGAGGCTATAGCGGAGAAGGACGGATCTGAGATTCACTCGCAGGGGAGACGACTGGAACGATGGGCAGAACACTTCGAGGAACAGTTTAACTGGCCTCCAGCCACCATTGCGCTGCCCGCTATCCAGTCGGACCCTGAATGGGACATAGAGACAGGTCCCCCAACACTAGAAGAAGTCGAGAAAGCGGTAGGTAGCCTGAAACGGGAAGGGCAGCAGGACCAGACGGACTACCTGCTGAGGTATACAAGAATGGTGGTAGAGTTCTCTTAGTCAGGCTAACGGAAGTGTTAGCCAGTATATGGGAATCAAATACGATCCCCTCCGACTGGTCTAAGTCACTCATCATCCCAGTCTTCAAGAAAGGCGAGAAGTCCTCTTGTGATAACCACAGAGGAATCAGCCTGACAAACATAGTGTCTAAGATCCTAAGTTCTATAATTCTCCGACGCCTGAGTGGAGCTCGGGAACAGCAAGCCCGAGAAAACCAGGCAGGCTTTAGACCTGGCCGTGGATGTATCGACCAAATATTCACACTGCGCCAGGTCCTGGAACATAGGCATGCTTACAGACGCCCGACAATAGCTGTATTTCTCGACCTGAAGGCGGCATTTGACTCCGTTGATCGAGAAGTCTTATGGCAGTGTCTGTCACTGAAAGGCGTGCCTAGTAAGTACATCACCTTATTGAAAGCTCTCTACTCGAACACTTGTGGGCATGTTAGAGCCTATGGTGAGTTGTCCAGGGAGCTATACTCATCAAGTGGTGTCCGTCAAGGATGCCCACTATCCCCATTCTTATTTAATTTTATCATAGATATTCTTATGGAGGTTTCCCTCTCGTCACCTAATTACAAAGACGTTGACCGAATCACAGGTGAATTTTCCTTAGATCTAGAATATGCAGATGACATAGTCCTGTTAGGTGAAGACGCTGACAAGATGCAGAGTCTTCTGAACACTTTGAGTGGGAATTTGAGAATGTTTGGGATGCGATTTTCACCACCCAAATGCAAATTTTTGCTCCAGGACTGGTCTTCAGCGGTACCGCGGTTAACAATAGAGAGTGAAGTGGTTGAGTGTGTTGACCACTTCACTTACCTGGGAAGTAGGATCAACCCGGTGGGTTAGTTGCCGATGAGATTTCTGCACGGATACAAAAGGCTCGATTGGCTTTTGCCAATTTGCGCCACCTATGGCGCCGCCGTGATATTCGTTTGTCTATTAAGGGTCGCGTGTACTGCACAGCAGTCCGCTCTGTTCTACTGTATGGCTGTGAAACATGGCCATTGAAAGTGGAAGACATGAAAAGGTTCAGGTGTTTGACCACCGTTGCCTTCGTAGTATAGGACGTATTCCGTGGTGTCACCATGTGAGTAATGCAGAAGTTAGGTGTAGAGTTTTAGGGAGAAGAGGTAAGTCAGTCGACGAGGTTGTGAACCTTCATCGACTGAGATGGTTGGGACACGTACTACGTATGCCTAGTCACCGATTGCCTCGTCACACAATGTTGGCTGAGGTGGGTTCAGGCTGGAAAAAGGCCCGAGGTGGCCAGACTAAAACATGGCACCAATGTATGAAGTCTCTGACTGTTGGTTTAAGCCATGTAGGACGATGCAGACTAGGTGGTTGGGGTCCACGGGACAAGAGGAACCAGTGGTTGGAGACCCTAGGTGATATGGCTCAGAACCGAAGTCAGTGGCGCAGATGTATACACACATTATCCTCATCTTAACAACGCTATACCGAATCTCACTATTTTGTCACTCCTCTTTCCTTTCTTCTCGTACTTTATATTTCTTTTGACTGCATTCACTTATCTTCATCCTTCACCTCACTACCTTTCTACTTGATGTGCTGACGTGAGGTGTGGCAACTCGGACCGTTACGCAGTAATACCTGGTCCTATGTTGATAATGATGATGAAACTAATAGTTACATAATTATTGCGAATGAATAAAACTGCAATATAGAGACCATTGTTTTGGAACTCAACAGATGTAAGTCCTGAATATCCTGATGTTATCATCGGTAGTAGCATGTTTCAGGAATACTTCTCAAGTACTCACTATTTTTTGGTTTGTAGGGGTTTTATTTATTGTCAAGTTATCTCCACAGCAATTGATTTCTCATGTCCCCTCCTGAACTGAACAGTCATTCAATCCTTCCTAACCACATACTTTAGAAGGAATTTCCTAAGTAACTTATATTCACTTGTACAGTACATGTCTAAGTAAGTGTTTTTTATGTATTTAGCCTTTAAAATTAAAAGCCTACCTATTAAGGTATAGTTTACTTGATAGGTACATTTAGAATCCAGAATGCGCGTTTCGTCCTACTTGTACTCACCAGCTGAATGAACGCGCATCCCAGTGAATGATACTTTTCCCACTAAGACTTAAAGCGACATGTAATTGGTTCGAATTTCAGTAGGGATAGGATCACCCGTTAGAGTACAGGTGGATTTCGCTGATGAGTCTACCTACTGAGTTATTATTGTGATTTCCGTTTGCTTGTTTTTCTTTTAAAGTAAATATTTTTCATACTGTAAATGAAAAAAGATTATTATAACTACTGCATATGTGCATGTTTTAAAAAAACTTGACTCCTAACTTTCAGGAGGTAATCAGCTATCTGGTGGTATGCAAAAATTGACCAGTGATACACTGAAAAATAAAAATTATGAAGTCTTGAATAAGAATAATACATATGGTTCAAATTATCCTGATGGCAGACCAAGTCAAATTTTAAACACCACAGTCAAACCGTATAGTCTTACACAATGCTATAATTTACATGAAACACATCAACTCAGTACATATGAACCAACAGCTTTTTCTGATCAACATCAAAGTGATCATCATCATTTCTTTGTGATACCATCATTGAGAGAATATTTGGCTACTTCACCGGGCATTAACATCATTGAAGGTCATTCAATGCATATTATGGCACTAAAATATCATCTGAATAAGTCAACTATGCTTATTAGCGCTGGTTGGGATAATCTTGTCAAGGTTAATTAATTAATTACTTAAAAAACACTTTTTGTTTTGAAAAGTTTTAAATAAATTGATTAGTTTATTGCAATTAGTAATAATGCATAGCTTATTCACTTTCACTCACTCACTCACACTCATTTAGTTTACTCTATTACTGAAATACATTCATGGTATTTTCCGTGCATTTCAAAAGTGAGATGTAAAAAAGGTTGATAATCAGTTTGTTAGAGTTTTTGTTAACCACTTGTATCTAGAATAAATATTATTTCCGTACTGGGCCTATGTACAACCAGGGTGTATACAAAAATTCAAGTTGGTCAGTTTTGTACAGGAGGAAAATTATTATTATTATTATCATAATTATTATGTAATACGTGTTGGATAATGCTATCACCTCAGAAATGATGTATTTTGGATCTCAGTCCCTTTGGAAATAGTGAGATGAATGTATGAAAGGGGGAACTCCACAGGTAAGTCCATGGCGAAGTCAAACAGGAATGGAGAGAGTGGATATGATTAACAGACACCACTAGACATACACAAGTCATCTGATATCTCACCATATTCCCTTACACTTTTGAGCATGTTGGAATACAATCATCTGTAGGGCGATTTGCTTATGAAAAACTCCTTCCAGTGAGAACCACCATCACAAGAAACCTCTTTATCAACGGAGTCGAATACCATCTTCAGGTGAAGAAGTAAAGCTAGCGTTGAGTGCAGGTAAGTGTGTCTGCTTACTAAGATTTAGTGGAGGATAGATATTTAGTTGATGCACACCCACAACCAGGTCTTAATCATGCCTGATGTTTCTTTTGCCTTTGATGCCATTGGGTTCACCTGTATCACATCACGGTATTTAAAAATAAAAGTGACTTCATAAGGACCGATTTACAGTGGAGCATGTGCACTGTTATACCTATGTATATTAATAATGGATAGTGGCTAGCAGGGGAATCAAAGACGCGCGTTTCGTCCTATTGGGGACTCGTCAGATGGATATACCTACCCCCGCAGTGATTGATGTCGTTGTCTGGACCGAATTAATCAGTATCTCGTAAAACAAGCAACAACATTCAAACTATACCCTTCGCACAAGAAGTAGGTATTGTGGTTCGGTGGTCTAGTGGACAAGACTCTGGTGTTTGAAGCTGTTAGTCCCAAGTTAGAGTCCTGGTGGGAACAACGCTCAGTGAAAGGTAGGTGCATCCATCTGACGAGTCCCAAATAGGACGAAAGGCGCTTCCTGGATTCCTCTGCTAGCCACTATTCATCAATAATATATAGTTCAAATACAGTAACTATCGAGGGATCTACGCAGGAGCCCATACACCAGTAGAGGCTGATCAATTCGGCACAATCAACGAAGGGTTAACACAAGCAACAACATAATACTTATGTATATCCTCATCAAAAATATCATGTTGCAAACTTTTTTCGCTATAAGCAGACCTGAAAACCATGGTATATACAAACTGTTTACTTAGAAAATGAACCATGTGAGCGAAGAAATATTTCTTTTTAATTGGTTTTTCCTCGATGACTTTACATTAATACATAGAACATTTTCAAAATACAAAAATCTCAGATTGTCATCTGAGTTACAATTAATCAAGGTAATTAAAAAATAGCTGAAGTATAGAAGTAGTGTAGAGAAGAGATAATATCATTTTCTAAAGCTGTTCAATCGTATTTATATATATCATAAACATATAACAGTCTATTATAAAACAATAGGGTATAATTACATCATTAACCTAGTGCTAAAAAACCGAAATCAAGAATGCAAAGTAGTTACGTAATAAACTAAGACAGTAGAAATATCGAGGAAGGAAAGAAGTTTGACAAGGTGAAAGTTGTTGGTAGATAAGAAACGCAAATGTTGAGTGTCCATTTGATAGATATATGTACTCGTGGTTGTCGTCTGGGTGACAATGTCGGAGTAGATTATTGACTCTGCAGTTGACAGTTTGGAGAATCCATTTCCATTCCACCTGCTCTCGCAAATTCCTAACACTTCCATGCCATACCTCCTCACCTCTTTTGGAATCTGCGCAGCCTTGGTATGTTCGTACATGTTGCGGACATTCCAACCGGCATCATTTCGTCTCCGATTCCAGCGAGGAATAAGTCACTTTTTGTTTTCTATATTTTCTTTGTGCTTTGAAATTTCTCTAGCGATTAGATTGTTTTTCTAGGGTGGGTTTGCTAGCCCTATGCCCAACTTTCCCTCCTTACCCAGTCTTTGGACCGACTAGTAACTAGTGAACTAGTTAACCAGGCCAGGTTAAAGTACAGTATACTGCATCATTAACAAGCATTTGGAAATATAGCTTATATCGTAGTTGGTATAAGTGGTTGAAAGCCAGTCGTGTGTTTTATATTCGTGCAGAGATTTCGTCAGCCATTGAACTACCAGAGCTGGTGTGACTTCTCAGTTACTGAGCTGGTCAGCGCACACAACCACTTCACTTCTCATTGTTAATCGCACTGTCAGTGCAATCCGGTTTTAGAACTACAATTTGCGTTAGGGTTTGTAGAAACTGAGTTTAGGCATGCACAAACCACCACTCAAGTTCAAAGGGTCTAATTGCGAAGGATTCAAAGAAGCTCAGTAAATTGGAAGGACATATGTAGTTTTTATGCCACGTTTCGCTGAGGACTGTTGAAGTACTATGACAACATTTTATTCTGTGAATCTGTTGGGGCTTGCTTTGTTCAAATTTGTCGCATAGGGATTCCACCAAGCAATACCACGAAGACATCTGTGATCAAAACCTTGTAATCCCTTCATTTTGTCTACTTTTAACGGTCGTCTCAGCCGTGTAGCAGGACAGAACGGACTGTAGTGTAGTTTACCTGTTCTTTCATAAATAGCCGCATATCTCACGAGTTGGCTTCCTGTATCCGAACTGAGATTTCGACAGCAACCAACCCGTTCGGGCTGATGAAACTCTCAAATAAGTGGAGTGGTTGACTCATTTCACCAATTCACTTCCTATCATTAAACTTTAGGTACTTGCAACAGACCAATTCTGGAGCATCATCTGACATTTAACAGGTGGCAACGAAACGCATGCCAGACATACTCAGGTTTCTGTTCAACTCGTTCTGGAGACTCTGAATTTTGTCTGCTTCTTCACTTAGCAGGGCAGTATCGTCTGCATATTCCAAATCAGTGGATGACCTCCATGAAGCGGGTTCATCCTTGTGAAATCAGATGTACATAAAGTTCTGCCCATTAGTACGTCTATAACGAAGTTAAATAGCATCTGTGACAGTGGGGATTCTGGGCGGTTACCACTAGTTGTCATCAGTTCTGAAAAAAACTCTCCATATGCCCCGATATGGTTGCGTGAGTATGAGTAGGAAGCTTTGATTAGCGTTATACACCTGCTGGGTACTCCTTTCACAATCAGACAGTGTCACAAAACCCCACGGTCGACAGAGTCGAATGCCACTTTCAGGTCAAGAAGTGTGGGAAATGTCGAGTGTCGGTCCAAACTTTTTCTAGTTTTCAGTCAAATTTTATTCATTCTAATCTATTATTTATTTATACTTCTGAAAAATGGATATTTTCTTTTATCTTTGCCTGACTACTCGACGTTTTCAGTGAAGAATATTAAATGACACAACAATATTGTAGTTGTACACATAAGAGCACAATAAACCTTTCATATTTGCTACTTGCTAACTGAAAGATAACTTGAGAGACACATTGATGTAAAGGTAACAAAGAAACATTGAAATGTTCAAAACATTCTTGCCCAATATCTGAGCATAGTATTTTCAAATTAATGACGGAGGTCATCTAACTCTGACTAAATTTTGTTGATAAGCATTTGTGTTTTCTTTTCCTGCACTATACATCTTGTCATTTTATACTGTTGTCTGCATCAACTGCCGTGTCTGACAGCCTTCAGTTATCAGTGATATACTGATGATTGATTTGTGCACTAAGTAAAGCTTTCACCTCCAAACACCATCTAGTATCAATAATCCAAGTCTTGCAGACCACAGCAGCTGTCTTAGATGGTCCAACTGATGAAGCTATGTATATTTTATTCATCACTAACAGTCAAATAAGTGTGTGTAACTAGCGGCTACATTTACTACGTTAGAACAATCATTCCAGTGTTTTAGTATGATGTGATTCATTGGTTGTGAAACGACTTCCAAGCAGTGACTCTATGACTGGAACTCCACTGTGTATAGTTTGACTTTAGCAACCAAGTAGTATCATAAGCCCTCAAATACATAATAAGTTGGGTTAAAGCCTTGTACATATGCACATACCAGAGTGAGTAATATTTACGTTCCTGCTGCATATATTCCTCTTCATACATTAAGAAATATTTAGGAAGATTTGTGCATGTACAGTTAGATTTACGCACAGTGATATTCGTTTGTTTTGAGTGTTTTCCAGCTTATTATGTGTATTTTTAAAATCTCTAAGATAAATAACAGGAGTTAGGGTCGTATAAACAACTCCAGTGGCCAATATCAACCAGTGGAACTGTGGGGGATTAGTTTAGGGGAATGACTTTCGACTGGTGCTTCACAGGTTCAAGTCCCATCACACCAGCCAAGTAGTATCACTAGCTCTCACGCAATAGGTGTGGCTCATCGCCTACTGCATATGTGTATACAGGGTTTCCGAGCGTATTTCGATTCGATTTCGAGTCCATGTGAATAGCTGTTGCTTTTAACCGAAATTATACAAGATTATCATCTTGCTTAACATGAAATGAAAGTAATGTGTCGAAGAAGCTTTACTTCAAACTTGCTCATTTGCCTCACTAACATTGTCTAAATATATTCCCTCTTCTTTGTCTTTCAGATATGGGATACAAGGCAACAGACTGGTCCAGTATTTCAGACTTACGGACCCTACATCACTAGCCCAGATGGATTAGATATAGACGATAACTATTTGCTGACGGCTTCTTGGAGAGCGAAACAATCTTGAGATATATTACACTTTACAAATGTTAAACGTGATACTATACCTTTATCTTATGTAGTCTACTGATGAACATCATGAATAGTTAGAAAGCACCTGAACCGATATGAAGATTTGGCTAGACAGATCAGATTGATCTAAATACCGGGGCAAGAGGAAGCGTTGTTTTGCTCGTTTACGAATAAACTCATCAGCAGTGTGCTAGGACAAACTCAGCTCACATAGAGAAGACTAAATTTATCTGATCAATGGAATCAGAAGAACAGTTTGAGAAGTTTTTCACTGCTCATCTTGTTCAGAAGTTTATTTCGTTAGTTCGTGACACTTTTATGTCAGAGACTATGAATGGGATGTGAATTCCAACGGAAACCCTCGTAACACCACAGTTGACCAGTTGAAAACATCATTCAGCGGTAAGAAATGTCAACGTGAACTATGCAGTTTGTAACTAATGTACGAATCAATCATTCTGCTTTTCATTTTATTAATATTATTATTACTGTTAGAAACATCACTAAACAAAATGACTTATCTGCCCTCATCTCTCCGTCCCTCATATTAGGCGATGTAGACGTGTACACACTGTTTGTTATAGATGGTTTGCAAAGTAATGAATGAAGCTTCTCTGTTTTGTCAGAAACTATTCAGAAAGAAGGACAAGACAGAGGGTTCACTGTGACAGCATAATCAATGAATGCAGAATTTCATATATGAAATTTATGTGCATTTCTACTTGTTGTGTGTATGATACGATCTGTTCATGGCTTAAATGAGTGCATAATCAATAGATTATTATCTTCATTATTATTTTAACCAGATATGGGATTTTCGTGCGTTAACCTCATCAACTGGGGAAGCCAAAACCTTCCATTTAAACATAACTGGTCTAATAGATTCTTCAAATGATGTTGAATATACAACATTAAATCAGTTCAATTTTGAGGGGGTTGTGAGATTTGGAAATATTTCAAGTTGTTATTCATCGAAGACTGACATCAGTTGGAGGAACAAAGGAAACCTGGGAGCACTGGACAGCTGTTTCGTCCTAGTATGGGACTCCTCAGCAGTGCGCACCCACGACCCCACCAGCAGGGATGGAACCCGCCACCTTCAGGTTCCGCGACCAGCGCGTTACCATTCAGCCACTCGGTCACAATCCAATCCTCCATATTTCCAACTTCTCTTAGCTCACGATATAGCGCAAACCGCCACCCAATGTCATCGTTGAGTATTTGTCCTCACGGCCATCAGGCTTTTACTCTACCGGTCACGACTTGTCATTAGAACTTCGGGAATACTTCTCGGAGCTAGTCACCAACGAGCACTAGTTCAATTAAATTTGAGGGGGTTGTGGAGATTTGGAAATATTTCAAGTTGTTATTCATCGAAGACTGACATCAGTTGGAGGCTAGTTTTCAGTCATTCAAGCAAAATTACAAAGATGGACCAGTTGAAGCTTTATCCATGTCTGGATCAGTGTGGGGTGAATATGGAACGAAAGATGCTGGTGAATATTTGTATGCTTCTAAGTTTCTGCCGTGCCATGCTATTGTTGCAGGATTTTCAGGTTTCAGACAAATACGTGTAATTGGAGGAGATACTCATCTTGTAAGTCGTTAGTGTTTACTGCTTCTCTGTAGATGATTACATTCAACAAACTGTTGTCTATAGTTGCGCTTTTATGTGATGATATGGCTAGTTCTGGAGGTCCTACTTACTACTAGGCTATTTGAAGGAATGTGTGACATACTGAGATCGACTAGATAACCATTGCAAACGTACATGCACTGAAAGATGGTTTCGTTCTAGTGTAAGGATCCTCAGCAGCACGAATCCATGACTGTCATGTCTCCTGGTGGTCACTTTACCAATTAGCCACTTTGATGTAATACCATGCTCCATATTACAACAACTCTATCAGATTGAGGTGTAGTGCCATCATTCAGTGCCATCTGATGAGTATTAGTTCTCACATCCGACTTAGTTGACCCCACAAGTCACTTCTTCTGATAGCGGTAGGAATCAGTGGTCGAGAACTGTTGGTGAGATGGCTGAAAATCGGTCATAATGACGCAGATATCACCTGTTGTCATCTTCTAAAGATTGAATACTTGCACTAACCTTTATCTTCAAATTGTTGATTCTCTCACACTTATTTGTCTACTGTGATATCATTCTCTTCCTGTGCACTTATTCTTTTGTATACTACTGTGAAGTATGATATGTTGAACGGATGTACTTGCGTGCGGGGTCCTACGTTGATTTTGTCTGTCTGTCTCTCAGCCACTTCATTTTCTTTCGTTCTTTCTGTAGTTCTCTTATCTAAAAAGAAGTTTGTCCCCAAATTATGTGATTAACTAACTGACTTTAAACAAGTTGATCATTGTATTGAAACCAGATGACTGAGAGATAGGAAGGTCTCGAGTATGATTCTGTTAAACGTCTTCGGTTTGAATTACTGGAGATTTAGGAACCTAGGACTTCATACAGAGATTTCGTCGGCCACTGACACCCTAGAGCTGATCCGACTTCGCAGATAAGGGAGGTGGTCAGTACACTCAACCGCTTCACTTTCTGTTGTTAGAAATAGAACCTATCAATATCAGTCCTGTAGCAGCAGTTTGCATTTGATTGGTGAGGAACGCATCCCAACTATTCTTGAATTGCCTCTCGAGGTGTTGAGAAGACTGTTCATCCTGGCAGGAATGGAAGTTATGGATATTCAAGCCATAGTGACCTCATTGCACACTCAAATATGTGTGTGATTCGGTCATCGGTGGGTAACCAATATATAGCTGTGAGACATGGCTGTTAAAAGTAGAAGATTTGAAGAGACCACAAGTTTTTGACCATACTTGTCTTCATAGCATTGCTCGGGTATAGTGAAACTACCATGTGAGCAGTGTAGAGATCAAGTGAAAGCTACTAGACAGTAAAGGAAGGTCGATCGATGAGGTTATGAACCTTGATCGACTGTGATAGCTTGGGCATGTGTTGCACATGTCGGAACACTGCCTAACTCGACATATAACGCTAGGCGAAGTTAGATTAGGTTGGAAGAGGGTTCATAGCGGCCAGAGCAAGATGTGGCATCAAAGCAATGAATCTCTGACTGTTGATCTGACCCATGTATGAAGGTGTAGACTATCTGGTTGGGGTCCAGGAGACAACAGGAATCAGGGTTCGAAGACCGTTGATGACATAGTTGAAAGTCAGTCACAGTGACATAGATGTATTCACTCTTTATTAAGATTTTGTATGATAATGAATTCCTAACACGGATTATAGACCAAGAGATGAAACAACTAAGTTAAGCAGGAAGTATAGCGATATTAACAAAAACTGATAGATCAGTCAAGCAGTTTCCTTAGAGATCAATCCGTAATTTTTACCGAGTTATCAAGTGTGGATTTATCCACACAGTGTTTAACTCAATAGAAGGATCTTTCAAGTTTAGTGTTCATTTCCACCTTCACACACTTTTCTGTGATCATTAGTTCTTTTCATCTTGACTACTGAATCGACTGGAAGTATGATTGTTTACCAATCATTCGTATATTCACACAGGCTACAGCTGAAGTCATAGAAACAGTTTTTGTCGCCTTGTAGTGTATAGAATATGAAAAGTAGTGTGTTATTGTATTATTAGTATCATCTATTCATTCACTGTGATGAGCGTAGTGCAATTGTAGTTTAGGGTTCTGGTTTCCTCTGAGATGTTGAAAGAAGCGTGGCAGTTTTCTATGACGTATATTCAAGCAAGTAGCAAGTTGTGAGCTTTTGTAGAACACTTAAATTCCATGTTAACTTCACTTCCTCAGACTCTTATTTTGTCTGTTTGCAGTTCCTAAGTTAATGTCAGTCCTTGATGAATACCAGAATGAAACTTGTCAATAAATATGCACAAACATCCAAACTGAATTAATCTAGTACTCATTGATACCTAGCTTCGAGAGATGATTCTTGAAGAAGACGTGACTGATAATGTCAAACAAGTCGGACATGAGGACAGTTACTTAACGATGGAATTGGATGGAGTTCGCGTTACATCATGAACTGACAGAATTAGGAAATATGGACCATCGGACTATGACTCAGTGAGTCAATGGTAACGTGCTGGCCACAGAACTTGGAGGTCCTGGTTTCGCCCCTTGGTGAAGTCATGGGTGGGAACAGCTGAGTCCCAAACTAGGACGAAGGAGTTGTGAATTGCTCTCAGGTTTCCAGTGTTTCTGCAACTTATGTCAGTTCACGATTAATACCAACCTGAAGTCAATAAGTCCCCACAAACCTCCAAATTGAACTAAATTAAAAGTCCTAACAATGATATACATTATGATCGGTCACTGAAGAGTCTTCAGATTTAGCATTATTGACAATTCTGCGTGAAAATATAAATATTGGGTGAACTGATTCAAGTCTGTAGTTCCTATGTTCAGGCATGAAATAAATGAGGTTGATTAGCATAGAAATGAACAACACTGAAATACTGCAACATGCCAGTCAAAGAAACTGAAGGAAAATTCCTGAAGCATAATGCTCCAAACAAATGGTAATCTACAGATACTACGTGGTCTTTGTTCAAATATACGGTCTACTAAGAAGTGAACAGCTTACAGGAAATCAGTAACTAAACGTTAAATCAAAAACATAAAGCAACATACGACGAGGTATTATGGCATAAAGGTCCAGTTTATAACAGCAGATTACAGAAAATCAAGCGAGAAAGCACTAAGACGACAGATGAAACAATAAAGAAGAACAGGTCGGAAGAAGAGAGAGGAAGGAGGAATAAGGAAATACTGAATTCAGTATGACGATTAAGATAAGGATAATGTGTAGATACATCTGCACCAGTGAGACATATCAGCTAGAGTCCCCAACCACTGGTTTCTCTTGTCACACGAATCCCATACTGGAAATATATACAACTCAAATAAACAGTCAACGTCTTCATGCAGTGATACCATCTTTTAGTCTGGTCGCTCCAAGCCTTTTTGCAGCCT